GCTCCTTCTGTCTCAGACGTGTATTTCTTCACCAAGTTCAAAAGGTCGTCGCGGCGGATCCCAATGATTCAGAAGATCCTGTCGCTCCAGGAGATCCCATCCGCCTCGAAAAAGTTCACCTCCATTTACCTTTACCACCGGAAGGTCAGCGACACTTAGCAGCGCCTGGTCCTGGTCCGACTGTACACGGGAGACCTCTGGCGCCGTACAAATATCTTCTCGATCAGCGCGCAGGATCGTTCCTTCTGCCTCGTCACCATCTTCGTCATTCTGCTAAACGCGACACCCCTTCGCCTCATGAACAAGATAACCAACTAGAGCAACAAGAGATCAAATGCTGGGATGAAGGATGGTACTTGTGGCATTCTGATAATATGACGGCAGCAGTTGAGAAAGTGCTGATGATGAATCAGGATTTGGTGAAGCAGAGTGAGAAGGAGAAGAAAAAGGCCGAGAAATTGGATCGGTATTTGAGAGGTGAAGGGGCGCATGTTGAGATGGAAGAGAGGGCAGAGAGGGAGGCGAAATGGTTGCAGGACCAGGAGCGGAAGCAGAAACAGCCTCAGGGCACTACCTCTTGTCCACCCTACCTGACCACTTCGTGAGCTCAATCTCCTGTTTCGTTTTTTGTCGGTGCTGATTGTCCTTTACGTCAGATCATTCTCTGAGCTCTACCCATTACCACCCCCTTTCCCCTTCCAAACCACCGTCGCGAATACTCTCGCTCCCACTCGCAAGCTTCTTTCTCGAGTCTACGAAACCATCGAATCTGGGGCCCAGAGGAAGTTAGCGGAGAAGATTTGGGAGAAAGCTTGGAGTAAGGATCCATGGATTCTGACACGAAATGTCCTCGAGCGGTCGTGGGAGAAATGGAAGGAGAGTGGAAGAGGAGAGGACGATCCTCCTATGTAAGTTGGTGGCAGGCGGATTGTTCGATGGCTTTGGAGATCTTCTGGATTTCGTAGATTCGTGTGCAATAATGTATTGAGGATCTAACGTCACTTTATAATATGCGCACGACCCACCACAACTTGTGCGCAGACTCTAAACTGTCGGAGGAAAGACAACAGTCACGTCGAGAAAGAGAGCAAGCCAGCACGAAAGGTTATCGGGACCGGTCGATGGGTGCAAGCTTCTACGTTTGAATATGATGAACGAGGGTAGTACTTACAGGCTCACATCTCAAAGTACCACTCAAGTTACCAGTTACCGCTCATGCACAACTCCAGCCTATCGGGGTGTTCCAGACACTGGGCAATCCAGCAGTTGCCCAGCGTGTCCATCTGAACGGGGGATAAACAGATGTTCGTGCTGCAATCAAATGACAAGCTTTTCTCACCAAATCCACACCATCGCCCCCAACCTCAACCCGAGAAGTATTGCAAGAACCTAATTGGACCAAGCACTTGTACCTGCAGTTTTCAGAGTCCTTTGGACGATCGGGATAGCAACCCATTTTCCAACCTCCACAGTCATATTTGCCTTTGCGTCAGGAAAGAAATTCGGCGAAAATTCAGAATTTACGCGGAGATTGTGGTGGGACAGAATGATTCACCTCGGTCCTCCCATCCAAGCATCTTCACTCCTTCGCGCGGGTAGAATATGTCATAGATGTTGGAGGGGATGTCGACATCGATTGACATATCCTCCCAGTGAGGTAGTTCTGGTCGTGCCACTGGTTCCCAGTGCTTCACGTATAGAATCGGTAACTTGAACAGCTCTTCGGAAAGCAACGAGGCTTTTGCTTGCTCACGCCGTTGTAGTAGAGCCTGCTTCGACGACACGGAGGTGATTGAGGATGATAGATGAGGTGGGAGAGTCGCAAGGGCGTCTTCATCCTCGCCGTCAGGGTCAATGGCGACCCGAGGTGAACCTTCCACATCCATTGCGCTTGATATCACCTGAGCTGCTAGCGAGGCAAGACTCGGCATACGGTCATCTTCAACGCGTGCAATATCGTGGGCTACACGGAGTACCCAAGAAGGAGAGCCATCCTGTCCGAGTGCGTCACCGAAACAATCAAAATTGTTCCCTCCTTCAGGGTTGGGACAAGCGAAGAATTGTAGAAAGCTCTCCCCCGCGCGACCATGGGCGATCTTTTGTTGATTGTGTTGGAGGACGCAATCTCGAAGTTGTTGAGGCGTACCGGGGGATGATAAGTTGATCTGGATAATAGGGATGAGGAAGTGATTGCACGCTGGACAGATGGGCCATTCCTCCTCCGGAGAAAGATAGATATCAGAGCCTCCCAGCGTAGCTGATATGTCGTACGGGTGCAGCGGCAGTTCAGACTCTTCGGCGGCGGAGTAAAATACTGGTCTGTATGCAACACGGAGAAGCAATTGGATGGAAGCTGGAAGGGTAGCAATATCTGGCTCGCTGGAAGACATACTAGCGGTAGGGGTATTGAGAGCAAATTGAGAGTACCTGGCAGGGAACGGGTACAGAAGACACCAGCCACCAAGTGTCACGATTTCAGAAAGCACGTGAACGTCACAGTGATTGTCCTCCACTGAGTCTTGCAGACTGATTCTTTGGACGCAATTCAACCTCTCTTATTCACTTGCTTGTCTATATCGCAATGTCTCGGCGTTCAATGCGAATCCTCGAAAACGAAATGCAACGTTTCGACTTCTCGGATACCGGAAAGTTGAAAGATGTGTGTCGTAAGTAGCAATTAACTCTGTCTTGGACGATCGAGTTCTGACGATTTCTCCATTGCCAGACTTGACAACGAAGGCGATCTCTTCAAACCCAAAGCGGCACGCACTAGCGCCTCTCTTTCTGATCAAATTTGCCATTAGGAACTTTGTAAATCCTACTCTTCTCCTTGAGTATATACCGCAGCTCCTCGATCTCCTCGCGTATGTCGAACGCGTTCGCAAGACGGCAGAATCCCGGGCTGTGGATGTTCTTGTCTGGCAGGATTACTATACTCGGAATCCAAGCGAAGGAACGATTGTGTTGAACGAGGAGGAATTGGCGAGAGTTGAGGAGTGGTCTGGTAAGGGGGAAACAGGACAGAGAGCCGCTGCGAGAGCGCGGAAGATATGGAGCTCATTAGTATTCGGACTATGTGAACTGGTGCGTATAGTTCCTGCATATAATCACTTTCAGATGAACGTCGTGCAATCTCCTGACTTCCTTGGGTATCAAGCACATTCACTACAGTTGGACAGTGCGGGACCAGCCAACTCTTTTCGAAGATTATATGAAGAAATACTTTCCTTTTCTCCCTGAACACCGAACGAATAAAACTGACGACACTTTCGACGATCGGAACCTCCCACCGGATGTCGCGTCATTCCACCACCTCCTCACCGATGCAGAAGAAACCGAATTGCACGATAGCGAGGGGGAGCGATGTGTCGAGTTTATTGGGGATGTGTCCGAATGGGAGGATGCTTTTCAGGAAGATTGGCTGGATCAACTGTGCGTCGATCGAGCGTCGACCGCGCATCGTACGGATATCTTTTGCTGACTTTTATCCAGACGACCTACGGGCGACAGGGAAGAGGCAAAAGAAGCCCTTTTTGAGGATCCTGACTTTGTCCAAGCATATCAAGAGTCGTTCGAAACTGAATTTCCTTGGCCGATTGACCTCGAGAGGCCGAGAGGCTTGGTGGAATACTACCTAGAGAAGGCCGTTACGCCAATGATTGAGGGCTTGATGAGCATCTTTCCATCAAGTGATTGAAGGTTCCATGTACTCTTGGGACTGGCGGTGATCACTGCCAACCCCATGGAGTATGCGTAGGGCGTCCTCTTTGCCGAGTTCTCTCGAGTCTTGAGTGGAGCTGTCATCACACCCCGTTTCAAGAGCAGACACACTATTCGTTGATCCCGAGTCTAATGATGTACAGTACGGCACCGAGATGGGTCCACCCACTTGTCGTGATCACTGTGTAATGACTCGACCCCGAACGGAGGTAGTAATCGAGGCGTCATCGCCGTGTTAATCCCTGAGAGCCTAAACACACTCCTCGCGTTGACGGGGTTCCAGAAGTGGCCAGCGACAACCTAGGGACCTGGGACCTCTGCGAGAGAGAGAAAATGTCACCTTGATGATAGATTGTAAAATACTTGAAAACTTTGGAATATGTGTATGGTGCACAGCGCTCGAGAGGGTTGAATTCTCGTGCCATCTTGACTCGGACGCTGGCGTCTCGAAGTCAGTCAAATGATGCGTCCAGGAAAGGCGGTACGCCGAGGTGACTTACTGTACGCTTACGGTGACGTTTCGGACGAATCTCGCGGATTTTTGAAAGCGCCGAAAACTGAGGACCCGACCGCCCAGAGGTAACCTAGGAACACTGCCAATCTGTGAAAGAAAGTCAGGTACTTTGATGATGGATATCGGAATACTTGGGAATTATTGGAGAAGGCATCGTGCACAGCGCTCGGAGGGACTGGGTTCTCGTGCCATCTTGACTCTGGGGTCAACAGTGGGGCAACAAGTCTCCTATCCCGAATTCATCTTGAATACAGACCGGGTCACCGAGGGGCGTTGATTGCAAGTCGACATCAGGTCGGCAGTCAAATGCTGCTTCCACGCAAGGGCGATAAGTCAAGGTGATTCACATAGCGGTGTCGGAACGGCCTAACTGATGGAAATTCGATAACCAAGCCGATAAAGGAAGGGTGGAATGGAACACTTGCAAGTGGACGTAGTGTCTTTGCTCCCCTGGGAGGCTAAAACGCGGCGGCAACAAAGTGCCGATGCAAAGATTTACGGAACAGAAAGTAATGGTGAAAGTGAGATGATAATTAATTGACCAGGAGTGAGCTGCGAGAATCTGAACAGCCGCGTGTAGACGAGAGAGTCGGCTGGCAGTCGCGGACGTGCTTGACCGCCCCACACCCAACAGGCGGCCGCGGAACCAAAGATAGACTTGACTGATCGGAGAATAAGGTGGGAGTCAGGGTTTGCAGACGAGATTCAGCTACCAGGTGCACCTAACCACTCGATACAGGGTCAACGCGATGAAAAACAAAACTTATGATGGAATTGGGATTCGAACCCACGCCCTTTCGGACTAGTAATCGGGAAACCCGGGACTAGCGCCTTAACCGCTCGGCCATTCCTTTCCTAACACGAGCGCTGGCAAGGGCCACGGACGAAATCCAATTGTCAAAGCGCATGCAGCAAAAGTATGATGGAAGTGGGATTCGAACCCACGCCCTTTCGGACTAGTAATCGGGAAACCTGAAACTAGCGCCTTAACCGCTCGGCCATCCCACCGTTTCATACAGGGGCGTAGAACTAGTGTCGAAGGGGCCCAAGAGGGGGAGGAGGCAGGGGGGGGGAGAAGAGTCAAACGAGCGCCGCAACGGAAACGAGAGCGGGACGACGCGAGAGACGTGAGAGAAGTCACGGCAATCAATCCTCGTGGTAAGTTCATGGTACATACTAGCCAGTGTGAGAGCAAGTAGTCGAGAAGGAAGCCAGCAAGTCAGAGACAACTTGGGGACAGACCAAGGAAACGGGCACTGGCAGACCGAAAGACCTCAGACATGCGCGAGTCACGAAAGAGTCACAGGAAAGTCGATTATCGTGACAATTTTACCCTGCAAGATAGAGCGATTGAGCGTCAGTGCGAGGGAAAGGAGCCAGCAAGTAGTAGGTAGCACCCATGTGAGGGATCCGAGTCGAACGAAACCAGAGCAACAGATTGGAAGCGCAAAAGTCACAAAACAGTCGATCCTTGTGACGCTGATATCACGACAGGCGAGCGAGCGATAATTGCACAGGACATACTGTACATCGAGTAGGGGCAAGAGAGCGATGGCGAACAAGTCCCCAGTAGCACGGCAACTAAGCATGGCACAGCAAAGCGTAGTATTCCCACTATGGTTTGGAGATACAGCGCGTGATATCGTCCTACCGTAGTGGGAAAACTTCGCTTTCCTCGGACTTGTTCTCCGTTGAGCGTTGGCGTCGTCGTTGTCGGTGCCATGCATCACGGCGCCTTCCTATGATGATATTTGCGGCACTATGAGCGTACAACCGGGTCCAGGTGAGTTTATTCAATCCATCATCTACCTCAGTCATTGAAGTCTCAACTCAAAATCATCCGATCTAGCAGCCGTTTATCCCGCCGTCAAAAGCAAGAATTCCCTGCAAACATCCCTGGCCCCTCCTCGTCAAATTCATCATTGTGTTCCGCGTCGCATCACCCATCAAGACTCGCAAACACCCTCACCCAACTCCATTTCGACGCGTTCACGTGAAGCGTCTTCGAAGAGAGCCCCGCCTATGGCCTAGAAACTGAGGGCAGGTGTTCACCTGTCGCTCAAAGGCCTAATGTACCACCCCCGTTCCTATACGACTACCCGTCTCCATCTCCTTACGTCTTTCGCGGCTACCACAAGTCATCGTATTACTCCGCGTATTACTCCGCGCGCCTTTCCGAGTCACACAAAGAGTATGATGGTTTCGTAGATGTGTCCCTTTATCCAAGTGAGTGATCTCAAGGATATCTCCACTTTTTGGTGACTAACTGACAACTTGACGGAATCTAGGGCTATCATAGGGGTAGGGTTACCCAGGGAGGGTAACCACAACCCAACGTAACCCAATCCCGGTACTCACCCACTTATTTGGTATTCTCTCCCCTCACAGAGTAATCACAACCTCCAAATACGACTCGTTGCCAGACTTCCGCTACGGTATCAGTATCGACCGCTCCCTTTTCTCTATTCCGCGCCGCTTCTCTTTCCCGCCCCTTCTCGTCCTGTGAGCTCCTGAACAAGTACATGATTAATCTATACTATTCACCATTCTCGAATGGCGTGGTTAGTCAGGGTTTAGGCTGAGAGCCGGCGACTCCACAGTGTTTGCGCGCGAGCTTCCGTATACTGACTTGGGCAGCACCTTGAGGACTTGCATACTCACATCATGCCAGGGCCCCGAGGACACACATGAAGCAGAAGCCGTCAATGAACGAAGCAGCCCGATATGGGCATTGAATCTCCGAATGCAGAATATCGAAGGCGCGTCAAACTCGCGTCGACGCCGGGGCAAGTCCTCTGGGGTGAGTTCTCGTGGGGGGATGGATGTGTGGGGATGGGTGTGCTGAACGACAGCCCACCGTAATCGAATATCTTCACCTTCAAAGGTTGTCTCCGCACCCTTCCTCGTCGTCTCACTCCCCGCATCCGCATACATCCACATTTCCCAATGCCTTCCAAAACCTCGAAGAAGCGGGCGGCTAGCCCAGACTCGGGCAGAGAAAACGAAAGGAGAGCTCCGAAGAAACAGCAGAAAAGGGTCAAGGTCACGAACAAAGAGGCAAGTCTCACCTCGAGCGTGTGAAGGATAATTGACGAATTGAATCGTTGTAGGACACTCCAAAGTCACCTCACATCGAAGAGAACACGAACATTCGCCGCCGGTTGAGGAGAGAATGTGGCAATGATGACGTACGTGATTCCTCCTTAAATGTAAAGGTTCGATGACTGACAAGAGCATATATATCAGTCTCTGCAGAGCATACAGTCTATTGGGAGCGACCTCGTGAGTTTCAAATGGCTCACTCGTTGTGGGGACTGTAATTCATCAGCCACAGGTCTCTCTCGACACTGCAGATGATGCCGACTTTGACTGTGAAACTGTAAGTGCTGTATGTTGACCTCGTGACGAATGAGACTGACGAGATCGCATTAGAGGAAGAGGACCACGTTGAATGTCGTTCGAGCAGAGCGTCGTCGTCAGGAAGATAGCGGCTACTTGCAGAAGCGAGCCCACCTGCGCCACACAGCTGCGACGAAGCTCTCGCCTATGATCGTTGAAGAGTGGTCCTTAACTCTCAAGTCCTTGCTCAATCACCGCACCGATAAGATTCTCCAGGGAGTCGAAGGAAGCGAGGGTCTTTCTTCCCTCGCCCGGTTGAAGTCCATCATCACTATCATGTGCACGAACGACTCCATCCTTCCTTTCGCCAATGACAATCCAGTTTGGAACAAGGTTGAGCTGGTTGCAGAGATGCTCCTGGACATCTTTGCAGATCCCTTCCATTTCGATGTCGCAAAGTGGGTCGACGCTGGGCTCCTTGTTCCATCTTCCGAGGATATCTTCAAGGACTACGATTTGGATGGGGAGGCCGAGGCGAATTGGGAGCTGGAGGAGATGTTGGAGTGAGAGTTTGAGGGAGAGTCAGATGAGATACAGGAGTCTAGAGAGGAGTCGTCGAGTGAGAGAGATGACAAACCTGGGGTTCCTGCATCAGGGGACTCCCTCTGTGAATACTACATTCGTGTGGCTCAAATCAAAATGTCTGACCTCTTGACATATGCGCTCGCCTACCCGGCGGACCTTGTCTTCCCCGTATATGCACTCGTCTTTGAACTTGGTGTGGACATCGACCAGGTTGAAACTCGAATCCACAAAGTTCTCCAGTCTATCGGTCATGGCGAGACGGTGGAGCACTTCTTTCACTATCTCCATTCTCAACTGGAGACTCTTCCTCGACCAAAGCCAAATCCCTCAGGTATCACTCTCCTATATGGCGGAATGACTATCGCGAATAACCCCGTTGGTCGTCTCGTCGATGACCTTCTCTCAAATTATCGTCGATTTTCAAACTTCAATCTTGCCAATGCCAATACTATTCGCTGGTACGACCTGTCGATTCCCATCCTCGATATCCCCGTGCAGAGTACCCTGGACTACCGTACAAACAGGACGCTCGGAGATGTTGAGTCTATCTTGATCGACGCGATGCACAGGTCATCTCTCAACTCAGCTCGCGGCGGGTGGTTACCTGACTTTCAACCATCTTTGGACTGTGTTGAAGTTGTTCAGTGCGCGCTGGAAGTCACCAGGAACCCTTGACAACAATATGACGAAGATCATCGTCTCATCGCTTGCATTCGGTCCAATATGGATGACGAGGCAAATTTCTGGCAACAGAAGACTGGAGGCAAGCCGATCTCGCCATGAGCTCTTGGATCAGCGAAGAAAAATGCCTCGGACGCGCTCCTGATTATCAACAGTACAGTGGTGAGGGTGGTCGGAGCGAAGGATATTACTGCGGAGGAATTCTTGGGTTTTGCTGGAGGGATTCAGGACGAGGACACCGGAAAGGTGTTCCAGGTCGAACGACACATCCTCAGCCGTTTACAGGACGATCTTGATCTTTAAGGTAACCTGGATGTCACCACCATCCGGGAGGGCTTTGGTGCTTTGATTGATGTCTGGCCACTCACCCTCAAACGAAAGTGGCCATTTCTACATACGCTACTGTTGAGTCACTACTATCAGACGACTCAACCTACATTTATCGTTACCCTTGGTTGCCTTCCCTCCTCGCTTATGTGACTCGGCAAATTGGAGAGTTCGTGGGGCAACCTATCGCATCCTCAGTCACGATTCAAGTGGAAGGATCTCCTGCATGGAAATATCGATCAGCTGGAATCGGTCAACCACGAGGCGCTGAAGCGGGACTCCATTCAACTCATGTCTAGTGACGAGTTTCTGACTAGCCAGGGTGAACTTTCCCTCGCTCCCTTCGGCCCCATCTCCACCAACTTTGCCATCCATGGTATCATATCCCATCCTGGTGGTGTCAAATACGACCCCGTTATTGCAAGGCATCGACTTTCGCTATGCTACCTGATTACTGCCAAGTTCGAGATAGTCACGCGTGTTGTCAAAACATCCCTTGCATCCTCTGGGTTGAACCGAGATGACATTGACCTCCATTCGCAACACCTCCGTTCATGCATTGATCAAGCTAACAAGATCTGTCAAGACTCCGGCCTCCAGCAAGCCATCGATATGGTCAAGGTGCAACTTTGACGACAAGAAACAGTCTATCCTCATCTTTGCTGCCTCCGCTCTCGCCTCACTAGCGATGGCGTCAAGATGCTATCCTACCAACCACGGAAGGACAGCAATCCTTTCCTCCCAGCCAAGCCTCGAGGACCAGCACGCGAACAACAGCTCCACGTTCTCGTCGAACAAGCTCAAGACCTTGCGCGTCAAGGCCTCGATCCTGACCCAGACAAGATCTGCCCTTTCGGAATGGACCTCACGTCGTCCGTGTTCCGAGCGAAGTTTTTAGGTCTCGAGGATGGACATGATCTTC